GTTTAAAGCCATGTCAAGTTTTCTTGAGCAAAATGGTATAGGGCATAGGTATTCTTGTCCTTATACCCCTCAGTAGAATGGAGTAGCTGAGAGGAAGCATAGGCATATAGTGGAGGTTGGCTTATCTCTTCCTGCTCACAGTAGTATGCCACAGAGGTTTTGGGATTATTCTTTTGCATCTGCAGTTTACATCATAAATAGGTTTCCCTCAAAATAACTCTTATATAAAAGTCCTTTAAAGTCCTGTTTTAAACAAAACCCAAACTATGCTAATCTAAAGGTTTTTGGGTGTCTTTGCTACCCTCATCTCAGGCCTCTTAACAAAAACAAGTTGGAATATAGGTCTACACCTAGCACCTTTATAGGTTACAGTTCTCAACATAAAGGATACAAGGTCTTACTTCCATCAGGGAAGATCATGGTTACCAGGAACATTGTTTTTTTTATGATAGATTCTTTCCTTTTTCCAAGGAGGGTCAAAATGAATCAAATTAGAAGTCCACTTCCACTCTTTACCTGCTCCTTCACTTTTTACTGTCCCTAACCACCTTCTTAAGGATAACATTACCAAACCTGTTACACCTCAAGGAAGTCATTTCAGACATTCTACACCAAACTCAAATACTTCTGGCTCTTCTCATCAAACAATCTCTATACATTCACCTCATGAGCTATTTGTTGATTTGCCTTGTGAAAGTTTTTTACCTGCACCACAGGCACCATCTAACCATGATGCAGGTACTCACAAGATGGTTACAAGATCTAAGGCAAGTATATATTAACCAAAGCTCTATCATGCTCATCTTAATCAGAACAAAGAGCCTTCAAACTTTCATGAAGCTTTTGCTCATCCTAATTAGAAGACAGCTATGCAGCAGGAATACAATGCCTTGGTGACAAATGAAACATGGTCTCTAGTTCCAAGGCATGCAGACAAAAACACAGTCACTTGCAAATGGGTGTTTAAATTAAAAACTAATGATGATGGTTCTATCTCTAGGTACAAGGCAAAGCTTGTGGCTAGGGGTTTCTCTCAAACATTTGGCCAGGATTATGATGAAACTTTCAGTCCTGTTGTTCGCTAATTATTTTTTTGCTATCCGCAAGTGTACGGCGTAGCTATAGGTAGTGACGAGCAAGGTCGTATTCCACAGAGATTGTAGTTAAATTAATTAAGTACTAAAATAATGACGATTAAATATTGTTTAGACTAACAAATGAGATGATGATTTTAAACTATGAAATTAAACTAAGAACTAATTTACCTAAAACAATAAAAATAAATCAAGATATAAAAGATAGATATTAGGTTAAGTGTTCCTCAGAATTAATTCATGAAACGTTTATATTCAAACAAACCTTATTTAATTTTACCAATCGTAGAGATAATCGCTAAATTGATTTCAACCTTTCTCTCGAACAAGCAAATCGTAGATATTAATTGTTATTTATCTCCTCTGGGTCTCAAGATGAACAACTAACTCCCGTAAAAGTTTTTAGGATTTTCGTTCTCTCGCAAGATTCTATCAACCTCTCGGTCTGTTTAGTCTCCTACTTAATAAATTTCTCAATTCTAGCAATCAATTATCTCCTCTCGGTCTCAAATCAATTACAAATATGCATTCATACATAGTGGCCATCTACTCACACAATAAATATACGCAAAAGAAATTTATAAACGAAAGATAAACCGGAATGAAAGAAATAAAAACTAAATCATAAATCAATCCGAGTACTAACAAATCCTAGAATCTAAGATAAATTAGCCTAGAAACATGCTTTCAAAATAAATATAAAACATTGAGTTCGAAAGAGGAAAAGAAAAAGAAAGAAAAAGCTTATTCGGCTCCGTCGATCCCTTCTTCCCGGCTTTCTCCCTCGTCTTGCTCGTGTTTCTAGCCTCCAAAGCTCTCCAAAGATCTGAAAATTAGGTCCCAGCCTCCTCTAAAATGTGTCCAAGTGTTATTTATATAGTTGAGGTCGAGTCCTAGTCGAAATAGGTCAAAAATCCATAAAAATCAGAAAAACGCGTAAGACATGTACCCAGACCCACACGACTCGTGTCACAGGTCACACGAGTCGTGTGAAAATGCCGATAGCTTGTATCGGACCTGTTCTGCGCGACACGAGTCGTGTCTACGGTCACACTACTCGTGTGAACCTGGGCGTCCAAAACAGCATTTTTGTGGCCTGCAACTTCATTTCACGAACTTCTCACGGATCCTGGTAAACATCCGACGTCAGAATCGAGCTCCTGGTTTGTCTTGGTCAGCTTCATGTCGCCGTGGATGGCGGATTCCGGCCAACTCCCAACAGCAGCTTTTCTCCGACGCGAGTTTGGCGTCCAGGCTGATTTCCCGACGAAATGATGGCCTCTACGATCATAAAGGTTGTCTCCGATGTCGAGGTGGCTTCGGCAACGTGAGATGAACGAGCAGCGAACCTCCTACAGCTCTTCAATGGCGGACATGCATGCAGGTACATGAAATTCATGTGAAGAAGAAGATCTTCAATTCTTGATGCGAAAAGACCATAGTACCCTTACTTAAATGGCTTTTGGGCCGTGCTATTTGTGCTGAATTTATGGACATTGTTGGCTGTGTGTTTTTGGCCCAAAATAACAAATTAAATGGTCCTGCTACATGTTACTTGTGGACTGTATACTTGGGCTCGTCCCAATGCATGGTTCGTACTACTTTTATGTCCAATTCACGCCGTTTTTGACTTCAAAAATTATTTCGACTCCGTTTCCTGACAAAACTCAAATAAAACACCTCATCATAGCTTAATAACATTAGTTAAATATATAATAATTAATTACATAATCACTAATTATATATTAAACTACGACGAAACGGACACGGAAATCACTATAAAATACACATAAATATGACGCATGTCACCTGTCATTAAGCCAACAACAATCAGAATGGTCCTGTCTAAAGCCTTGTCAAAATCATGGTTCATCGGACAACTTGACTTTGATAATGCATTTTTGAATGGTCAACTTGAAAATGAAGTGTATATGGAACAACCACCTTGTTTTGAAGAGGGAGATTCAAGGAAAATTGTTTGTAAGCTGAATAAGGTAATTTACGGCCTTAAGCAAGCATAAAGAGCATGGTTTACAACATTGAAAGAGACATTGTGCAGTTTTGGTTTTACTCCCTCAGTGGCCGACAACTCATTGTTCTTCAAGAATTTAATTTCCTCTTCTATTCTACTGTTGGTGTATGTAGATGATGTTATTGTTGCAGGAGATAATGAAGAAGAAATCCAAGAATTCATCTCTAAGCTGAACAAGGTCTTCTCATTGAAAAATATGGGTGAACCACATTTGTTTCTTGGCATTGAGATAAATAAAACAACAGCAGGTCTACACTTAAAACAAGAAGGTTACATTCAAAACTTTTGAACAGGCTGAATACGAAAGAGGCAAATGGATTGAGTACACCTATGGTTACATCTCCCATTTTGACCAAGCATGATGGCCATAATTTCCATGATCCTACTCTGTATAGGAGCATTGTGGGGGCACTGCAATACATAGTCATCACAAGACCAGATATTGCATTCAGTGTGCATAAGGTAAGTCAGTTCATGCATGATCCAAAAGAACCTCATTGGAAAGTTGTAAAAAGAATTTTGAGGTACTTGTCAGGGACTATTGATCTTGGTCTTAAATTTACACCATCTACTCACAACAATCTCACACTATTCTCTGATTCTGACTGGGGAGGAGATTTAGATGAAAGAAAGCCAATCTCTGGTTTTTGCATCTACATGGGGAGTAATCTTATATCTTGGTACTCTAAAAAGCAGCTCACAATATCTCGCTCGAGTACATAGGCACAATATAGAAGCATTGCTCATGCTCTATGTGAACTAAGCTGGATATGATCTAATCTCAAGGAAATCAACATGATACCTTCACAAGTTCCTACACTTTGGTCAGATAATTTAGGTGTTTTTCATCTTTCCCTAAATCTTGTGCATCATTCTAGAACCAAACATGTCGAAATAGATATCCACTTCATAAGGGAAAAGGTCAAGAATGGAGAGGTGGTCATTGTACATATTCCTGGCACAGATCAAATTGCAGATATACTTACTAAACCTCTCTCTGGTCAATCCTTCACTCGTTTTCGAACAAAACTTCATGTCTGTTCTTTTTCCTCGTTTGGATTGAGGGGGCGTGATAAAGTAATGGGCTCACCTCTCCAACCTTGATATTATTCATCACAGCCCACATGCAGATGTAGGCCCAGATCATGCAGGCCCAAATGCACGTCCACATGCAGTCATGCACAACTATCTTGAAGGACAAGTTTGTTAGAGTGTTTTGTCTCTTAGCTAATATATCCGTTGCCACTCTGATTTTCTGTACTGCTGCCATTTTTAACTTTTACTCTAGATTCTAGAATTCTCTTTACATGATATGTATACCCTCTGAGTCTGTAACAAAACATATGATTGAGCAATCAAAGAAATCAATATTAGAATGAGAAATTATCGTTTTTCTCAAGAAAAGTTTCTTTGTTTTTCCTAACAATAAAGATATCTTCCGAATGTATTAAAATTTTATAATATCTCATCGTTGAGAAACAATGACTCATTTTCCTTGCATATTCGTTTGCCTATTTATAAAATAGATAAGAAAGTTATGGCAACGGGCACTAAATCCTAATGCAGGAATAATCAAGATTGAAAGGGAGTTTGCTATGATGATCGACACAAATCCACTAATTGATGAGTTTCATAGCATTAAAAATCGAAGGGAACATCTTAAATAAGAGGCATTTTTTCACCATTTTTTATAGTTGTAATGAACATGAAGCACTTTATATGTATTCTTAATCAAAAATTATTTTATGTTCTTTCTTTTTAAATTTTACCTTAATATTTTAATCATTCCATCATCCCTTCAAACGTAAATACTAATGTTTACATTAATCAAACAACATCATCACCATATTTCAGTTTCAGGCGCAGCCGACGGACTAGACGACTCCTCGTATGGCGGTCACGACTTCTTTCAACGTAAACTTGAACTCTTTCTCCATCTATACGTTAACCAAAAATAATTATTTGATTACGTGCGAAGTTACGTAAAATAATGTTTTAACAGATATTCGTTTGTACACTTGTACATCGAAAAATTAATAAATCAACATTTAAATAAAAGTATTACCTCGGCGACAATGGTGATGTTGAGGGTCACGTTCCCGAACGGCGTGGCATTAGTGTTGATGACGATCATATTCATGCTCTCGATCTTACTCACTAACTTGACGAGCACGCCCTTTTGCATTTCGCAATGCACCTTGAGGAGCACGAGGTTCTCGCACCACCGGGCTTCGATCTCGGGCAACGGTTTTTCCTCCACGGTGAGGCTCTGCTCGTCCTCTACCGTAATATGAGATTTCTTGACGAGCACGACTGATTCCATCGCGTGCTTCTCGGCTTTTGCCTCAAGGTCTTGAACCGTCTCCTTGAGGTGTTTCAGATACTTGATGGCGTCCTCAAGGACTGAGCTTTTGTCCATCTTGGATTTACGTAAAAATGGTGATAATAATGTAAAAAAGAATTAGTAAAAAAGAGAAATTAAAACAATGAAATATTGAGAGGAGTGATTACTATGTATACTGTTCTATCGGGATCGATCGTTTTTTTTTTTTTTTAATTTAATTTAATTTTATTTTATTTTATTTGTTTATAATTATTTTAACCAGCATGAGACCATCGCGCGTATTTCTTTATTGTAGCGCACGTAGGCCGTACTTTTCTGTATTCTTTATGATGTGGCATATAACGAATTAGCAACGCGTTAACTTGTGGCCTCGCACGTTGTTTTTT